GAATTCACATTGCTGCTACCTGTCTCTCTATCAGCCACAATATCACTGAAGTCTACTTTGAACCATTTCTAAACGTATGGGCTGGCTTTGCTTAATGTTGAATTTGGCTGCCAAGAAACAACCAAGCAATTTCCTTCCATTGTTTTGGTGGAAAAATCAAATAAATTATGTGAAGTCTTTCTGTCAAGGGAACCTTGGCCTTGCTCCTGACGTTAAATCAAGACCTTCTATCCAATGGGGTGCTCATTCACCAAAGAAATTAGAAACTGTTTCAAAGGTATGGCTCTTATTTGCCAAAAAAGGATCTTATACTCAGTGGTGGGTTCCTGCCAGTTTGGACCGGTTTGGGCTGGTACTGGTAGTTACGGCTAACAAGTGGGCCTGCCCACTGCCCGGGCACTATCCCATCCTATATAATTGTCATGTGCTCAACGCAACGTACATTTGTGCAAGGCACACACAAAACTATCCCGTCCTATGCAATTGCCCTATTTTCGAGTGCAGCGCACACATGTGCAAGAAGCGCGCACGAATGAAGTGTGCTCACATTTTTGATTCTGGGCGAACCAGTTGTTAAACTATGTGATGCCACCTCTGCTTATACTGCTATATAAAACCAGGGGAGGGAGGAGGAATCTACTGCTACAGTGGTTTGCTCACATCACTGATTTGTCCTAAAGCCAGGATGGCGAACCTATGGCACGCACCATTTTTTACCCTCCCCAGGCTCCAGAGGTATATAGGAGCCTGGGGAGGGAGAAAAGAGCCTCCCCATCCCCAGAGGTTTCCCTGAAGCCTCTGGAGCGCAAAAAAATGGCCTTATGGGCAAACCGGAAGTTTGGGAATGGACTTCTGGTTTTCTCGGAGGGTCGTTTTAAGTGCTCTGGAGGCTTCAGGGAAGCCTCCTGAAGGTCCCTGAAGCCTCCAAAGGGCTTCCGGGGGGGCAGGGGAGGTTGTTTTCGCCCTCCCCAGGCTCCTATAAAGCCTCTGGAGCTTTGGGGGGGGGCAAAAAGCATGAAAAAAATGGGGGGAGCGCCTGTAGTGTGTGCATGCATCTGGGGGGGGGTTCATGCATTGCCTTATGGGTGCGGCACGCCCGCACACGACTCCCCTGCGTCCCCCCCCCCTTTACGGCACGCAAGCCAAAAAAGGTTCGCCATCGCTGCCCTAAAGATTTTACCTTGTTCTGTCGAACCATTTTGCTGAGTTGAACCATGGAGACTTGCACTGGATGTGGACTCTGATGAAATCTGAGAAATATCTTGCTGGCTTTCCCATCGGCTCTGGAATTATTAATATACATATATATTTGTACAATGATCACATTGAAAGTAGCAGCCACTGAAACAATTTGAAAAATGTTGAAACATACAATAAAACAAGAACAGAAACCTATTAACATCCCATGCTGCAGAGGAAAGACAGAGGCCCCAGTTCATGCTTTTCTGAGCCATAGGTTTAAGATCTAAAAGGCCCTGTTGTAAGCTGTAGCCAAATCTAAGAAGATTTAAGTCTGATCAGGGCCTGAATGGAAGACATCTGACAATATTATCTATAGAACATTGAATTTATCTACATAAGTGCAATAATTAAGTGTGTATGTTCGCTTTCCCCATTTGGCACCCTTCAATGGACCTTGCATGGACCTTGACTCACAGAACTCTGAGCTATCAACATGTTGGCTAGAGAATTCTGGGCATTGATATTTAAACATCCAGAGGAAGCATTGCTTCAGAAAGGTTAGCAAAGTTAATTGTGCTCTACTTCTTCCTACGTTGTGTTTCCCTAAGAGAATAGACCCATACCAGAAGTCCTTAGAACTTTATGTCCTGAGAAAAGTACAATTTCTTGTCATTTAATATTCTGATGGAGCTGCACTATTCAGATTGAGGATACAAAGTGCAATGAGGATGAACATCTAGTACTCTCTTGAGCCGTGTGTCAGAACTAAGATTCAGGGCATGTTTAACAGAGGGACTGAACTTACATACTAGCCACTAATAGAACCTCTTGCCCTTCATTATTAATTTATAGTTGTTGGCATAAAATGGGCACTCCAAAGAAGCATTTAATAAGACAGCCTCTGTCTGCACAATTGCAATCAATGTAAAAAGTGTCTGTAACAGTTGGTACACCTGCACTAGAATGCTAAAGGAGTTACTGAGTTGGCAAGCATTCATTCTGAAAAAGGGACAGAGTTATCTTTTTTCACTGTAATCTTATAGGCTATCTCAAAGTCTATGAAAAGTCTATGGGATGTAATTTAACAGGTAACGAACCCTAGACAACTATTGTGGCTTTGGCAAGTGAATCACCCAAAAGAAAGAGGAAAAGTACAATGCAAGAAATTTCTGACTACTGCACAGTGGCCACCAACTGAAATTATTTTATTGCAATGCAGCAACAATATTCTATTACGAATGAAGTTATTTGTTTAAGAAGTGGTGGGTACCAAGACCAACACTGGATAATATCTGAACAACCCACTTTCAGTTCTTACAAAAGTCGATGCTCTTTATGATTTAACCTGCCTAGGTTTCCCCCATATTCTCTCTTCATCTTTCTTACAAAAAGTCTGTAACAAGGAAAGAACTTATTCATAACTTGTCTGGAGAAATGTTTGCCAAATGACTGGGCACCAAGGTCAGACTTCATTAAACTAATTCTCATCAGTCCATTTAAGAACATCATGCTCTTAGTCTCACATTGGGACAAAGTCATTACAGAGATACCTTGGCATCTTCCAAATAAGCTTTATAATTCTCTGCCTTCTTCCTACAGAACCCCACCACCTCTTATGAGCCTTTGATAGAACTGCCCCCTTCCCCCATTATGCAGCTCAGAGAATATTTCCTACACGGTCCACCCACCATTCTCGGAAACAGGATCTTTAACTGGATCTTGGTCTGCTCCAGCAAAGCAACTTACTAGAGGGATCCCTAACCTGGGGGAAAAAATGAAGCAACAACCAAGGTTGCTCAAACTGAATTGTGGGAAAAACAAAATATCCATTTAAATGGAGGTCCACTGAATCCATTTATTCTGAAAGTATTTTGTTTGCGTTATTCTGCCATAAAAATTGAATTTTATCAACCAGATATATTTTTTAAAAATGGCAAATCCAGTACTATGAATTCTATTTTTTAGAAACATTCAGTAAATTATTACTACTTATTTTCACACTGCTGCCCATCTCGCAAATAAATGGCAAACAAGACCATAAAACAAGACCATAAAACAAGACAATAAAAACTGCAACAAACAGTAAAACCTACAGTGGTTGTTGAGGGTATGCTATATTTGTTAAATTCTGGCAGTCGCAGAAACTTCCCCTGATCATAAGCAGGAGTGTTAAACTGGTAGCCTTCGGGCTGGATGCATCTCACACAGGCCACACCCACCCCAGCTCCAGTAAGGGGGAAATGATGCAATACATCATGTGACGGCAACGTGATGCAGTGAGTTTGACACACGGGCCATAAAGTATCCTTAGCTTTCCTTTTGGTCATCAGTAGTAACAAAAAATAAATCAGGATCTTATTTGATCTGTGCAACTCTCCTTTCTACTTTCACTGTCTTGAATTCTGCATGGCTAACCAGTTCATTTTGCTGACATAACTGCTTCCAGCTGGTGATCAACAAAACAAAGGCCACCCTTTACTCATACAAAGTAGGCAATGGAAACTCAGTAAAAATCCTGGGAATCCATGCCAGTCTGGGAATGCAAAACCATTCCCAGGGAAAGAGGGTACGTTCCATTATTTGATAATTCAACGGCTTGAAGAAGTTTGCAAGTTATATCACTATAACATGGCTAAACCAGATAGTTTCTGCTGTAAAGTGATACTAACCTTGAATTAAGCTTTTACTTGAAACACACTGGAAGGAGTTAGCAAACAGATGCATGTGCTACTGCACTGTATAATCTGACACATCATAGACTTATGATGTATGATTGCACCACTGAAGGACTGGATGAATAAAAATCACCTCCTTGTGGATTGCGTT